ATGACTCAGCCAGAAGGATTCAAAGTTGCTGGAAAAGAAAATATGGTATGCAAACTTGAAAAAATGTTGTGNGCTAAGTACTACTATGTCGCCAATGGATGAAGCTGAACGAGAGTATATGTCAAAGGTACCATACTCAAATGTTGTTGGTAGCTTGATGTATGCAATGGTTTGGAGAAGGCCTGGCATTTCACAAGCTGTTGGAGTTATTAGCAAATATATGCACAATCCAAGGAAGGAGCATTGACAAGCTGTGAAGTGGATTCTACGGTATATTCATAATACTGTAGATGTCGGGTTAGTTTTTGAGCAGGAAGACAATCAGTCTGTAGTTGGATATTGTGACTCAGATTTTGCGGGTGATATGGACAAACGAAGATCAACTACTGGTTATGTGTTTACTTTTGCAAAGGCACCAGTTAGTTGGAAGTCTACTTTGCAGTCAACAGTTGCTTTGTCTACAACAGAGGCAGAGTACATGGCTATTACAGATGCTGTGAAAGAGGCAATTTGGCTTCAAGGATTGCTAAAGGAGCTTGGTGTTGAACAAAAAGGTATCACAATTTTTTGTGATAGTCAAAGTGCTATTCAATTAGCGAAGAACCAAGTTTATCATGCAAGGACGAAGCACATTGATGTTCGGTATCATTTCGTACGAGAAATCATAGAAGAAGGTGGAGTCACGGTGAAGAAAATTCATACTACAGAGAATCCTGCTGATATGCTGACAAAGGTGGTGACTGCGGTCAAGTTTCAACATTGTTTGGATTTGATCAACATTGTTGAACACTGAAGATTGAAGATGAAGACACAACCAAAATTTGTTATTGAGAGAGAATTGAAAATGTGGAATTTTGCCAAGGTGGAGATTTGTTGAAGTTTGGCAAAATGCCAAAGTCCCACATTGGTTGGGAGTTAAGTTTGGAGGGGATTTTTCCCCTATAAAAGAAGGCCTAATGTTTAGGATTTAAATACACCTCTCATTTGCCTTCTTATCTTCTTAAGGCATTTGTATCTTCTCTCTTTAGTATTAATTCACTTGTATTTTTGGAGTGGAATTAAATATTGGTTGTGTCCGAGGAGTAGGCAAAATTGGCCGAACCTCGTNGTTCGGTATCATTTCGTACGAGAAATCATAGAAGAAGGAGGAGTCACGGTGAAGAAAATTCATATTACGGAGAATCCTGCTGATCTGCTGACAAAGGTGGTTACTGCGATCAAGTTTCAACATTGTTTGGATTTGATCAACATTGTTGAACACTGAAGATTGAAGATGAAGACACAACCAAAATTTGTTATTGAGAGAAAATTGAAGATGTGGAATTTTGCCAAGGTGGAGATTTTTTGAAGTTTGGCAAATTCTATGTCCCACATCGGTGGGCTCTTGAGTTTGGGGGAAATTTTTCCGCTATAAAAGAAGGCCTAATGTTTAGGATTTAAACACACCTCTCATTTGCCTTCTTATCTTCTTAAGGAATTTGTATCTTCTCTCTTTAGTATTAATTCACTTGTATTTTTAGAGTGGAATAAAATATTGGTTGTGTCCGAAGAGTAGACAAAATTAGCCGAACCTCGTAAATTCTGGTGTTCCTTTTATTGTTGCTTTATTGTCTTATTTATTATTTGGTGGCTGTCATAATTTTGGTATAGTAGTTGTGACTTATTCACACTATATACATTTGGCTTCCGCAACATCTTCTTCCTCCTGTCTGTGTTCTTCAGGTGCCCAAAACACTAAGTGACCAAAAACCAGAAGCCTATACTCCTCAACTCATTGGCATGGGACCATATCACCATTTAAGGCTAGACCTATATCAAATGGAAAGGTACAAACTTGCTGCCATTAAAGAGATTCTTGAACCAGCTCAAATCCTCAATTTTAAGCACCTCTTGATCGACAAACTAAGAGAGAATGACATCGTTGTCCGTTCTTGTCATAACCGGTTCATGGACATAGATGAGGAGACTTTAGCTTGGATAGTAGCCATAGATGGCTTGTTCTTACTTAACATCCTCCGTTCATTGTATGACAATGTGCATGATGATCAGGAGATTATTGATGATACCATTTTCACCCGAGACCTCATGATGCTCGTGAACCAAATCCCTTTTGTTGTCTTGAAGCAAATCAGAAAGTTTCTCTGTCTATCTTCCCCTGAGATAGAGAAGATAGCGAGTTAGTTTCCATGTTTAGGCACTTTTGTGAAATGCATTCCCCACTCGCTTTGCCTACAAACGATCACTCTAGAAAAGTCCAAGTAACTCGGCCTCTTCATTTGCTCGATCTTATGTATCGTTTAATACTGGATGATCGTGTAGATTTTGCTTCTATTCCAATGCAAACTCCAGCCATCATTATCAAACATGACAATATAAATGAAGACGAAGAAGAAGAAGATAATGTCGATGATCAAGATCGAGAAACACATGGAGGCATCATTCACAACTTCGAAACAATCTTGGAGGTCGTGGAGAATATCGGTCCCAGAAACGTGCAAAAATTTGTAAAGCCCATCAACCAGGTTGTAGCCAACATGCCATGGTCAATGATTTCCGGGCTATTTAGGGAAGGTACTCAAAGGAATAGAGACAAAGAGAATGAGATGATCACCGTCCCATCAGCATCCCGATTATGGCGTTATGCGGGAATCAGATGCATCCCCATCCATGAGGGTATCAGTAAGATTAAATTTGATCAAGCTGCTTCAACTTTTTACCTTCCTGTGATCGCTATGAATGCTGGTTCAGAAGTCATACTTAGAAATTTGGTGGTCTATGAAGCTGCCATGTCCAATTCTAAGCACGAATTTGCCAGATATATCAATCTAATGAGTGGGATTGCAGATACTACTGAGGACGTGAGGTTGCTAAAGCAAAATGGTGTTATCAAAGGGGATTTGACTGATAATGAAGTTGCTTGTTTGTTCAGTACTATGCAAATGTCATTTGTAAGGTCTAGTAGAAGTTGTAATGTGGAGATTGCCATGGAGAAAGTCAACAAGTATTATGACCAAATGCTAGGAGTAATAGTTAGGGCTCATAGAGGGTTGAAGAAAAACATCTACCTTTCTTGGAAATTTTTGGCTACTGCTTTGTCCATTTCCGTTGTGTTGCTGCTAATTTTCCAAACATTTTGCTCTGCATATGGCTGTCACAATATTTGGGGCAACAGAAAGTAGAATGATCTCAATAAACCAATTCCTTGTGGGATGAACTAATGTTGTATTGTGGGCCGGGCCTGAACCAGACCGGACCGGACCCGCGATCCTAACGGGCCTAACGGGCATGGTGGGCCGGTCTTGGTGGGCCGGTCCTAACGGTCCCTTAAAGCCCGAGGCGGGCTGGTCTTCAACATTAAGCCTACGAGCCCGGGACCGTTTAGCCCGGGACCGGTTGGCGGGCCTGGTCCGGGCCCAACGGGCCTAACGGCTATAATTTAAAAAAAAATAGCCCAACGGCCATATTTAAAAAGTAGCCATTTGGGGTCTTTTTTGACTGTTTGGTAGTTTATAAAATAGTCATTTGGCCCCTAAACTTTATTTTAACCCCAAACTTTATATAATTACACTTTTCCCCATTTCTCAACTATAAATACCCCCTAATTCTTTCATTTTTACTCACCAATTCATCAATTTCTCTCAATCTCTCTCAATCTCTCTACTAGAATTGCTTATTTTATTGTTGAAACTTCGTGAAAAATTGTGAAGTTTTCAAGTCTTCAACAATTTCCAATTTTCAAGAAGTTGTTCGGCAATCCGGTAAACTCGTTTCAACTCTTAAGTTTTAAGAATATATTTTTGTGTGTTTTAGTTTGCATAATTGTAATTAATATGGCATTTTCTTTGAAAAAAATGTTTGGTAAGGAAAAAGATAAAACCGGTGAAAGTAGTGGTCAACCAACCTTCCCCCGGCTCCCCGACCTAGAAAAGATAAGCAAGTTGAAAGTAGTCGCCAACCTAGACGTCCTCCTCCTTCCGTAATTCTTGATAGTGATCACCCTTGTTTTCAATTTACCGATAGTGAATTTTATCATAATGTTGCACCAGGTGATAGATTAGATGATGAAATTATGAATGTTCTTTATCCTAATGAAACTATCTTAGAAAATAATGAGGAAAATGAGGATGATGATGATGAAACCCAAACACCGGATTTAGATGATACACCCACTAGTCCTTTTAATAACCCAACTGATGCACTGGCTGACCCACCTGTAGAAACTCCTACTTTTAATAGAGAACCTGCTAAACGCCTAGAAACATCATTAGTTTGGAATTTTTTTACTCAAGTAAGAGAACAAAATAAGGCTAAGTGTAAAACTTGTGGGAAATTAATGGCGCATAAATATACTGGAGACTGTAGAGGAACGTGTAGTTTGACTAGGCACATAAAAACACACCCTAGAGATAAAGCTAGATTTATACAAATGAAAGCGCAGCTAGAGGAGACAAGTGTAGATTCTACGGTTAACCCTAGTACAGGTTCAAATCTAGTTCAACCAGGAATTAACACTGTCACTGGAGGTATTTTATATTACGATCCAAATAGAGATCGTGAAGAATTAGCAAAGATGATTACTGTTATGTGCTTACCTTATACTTTTGCTTCTAATCCTAATTGGGTTCATTATATTAGAAGAGTGTTTAATCCTACTTATAAAGGTTGGCCTCGCGCAACAGTTAAGAGTGATATTTATAAATTTAAACATGAATATGAACAATATTTGCGGTATTTATTTACTCATATACCTAATCGGATTTCTATTACTACTGATATTGGTAGAAGTGGTAATGATTGTGATTATCTAACTGTTACAAGTCATCGAATAGATGAGGAGTGGACAATGCAAAAACGCATAATTGCGTATAGAATAATTAATTCACGTCACACAGGTAAGTTTATAGCTAACACTGTTGCAGATATTTGTAGATATTTTTGCTTTAGAGATAAAATAATGGCAATTTCTATGGATAATGCTTCTAGGAACACTAATGATATATGCANAGTGCTATAGGCATGCTTACAACAACACTAAATCCTGCATTTACTAATATTTTCCATGTTAGATGTATTTGTCATATTTATCATTTAATTGTCGGTGATGGTATGCGAATATTAAACATAGAAATTGAAAAGGTTAGAATGGCTCTTAATTGGCTTTTTTATTCAAACCGTAGAAGTAGACTAAGAGAATATTTTAAAAATGTGATGAATATGGCCATAGAGAAAGAAAGGTTCCTAAACCTTGCCCGACTAGATGGAATTATATGTACGAAAGTTTAGTAGTTGCATATGAATATAGAAACCCAATTAATGCAATGTTTAATGCTCGGGTAGGTGGTGAGTATGATGATGATGAAATGCTTACTACTCAATATTGGACGAATGCTAAAATTCTTTTAGATTTTTTAGAACATTTTCAAATTGCTACAAATGCATTNTTTCTGGGCAATATTATCCTACAATTTCAAACTGTTTAGTTTATATTGCAGCACTATCTGATTTGTTTGTTGAATTTTCGAAGGGTGGAGAAATTTATCAACTTGCTATAAATGAAATGAAACAAAAGTTAAAAAAATATTTTTTTCCTATCCCTCCTATTTATGGTCTTGCTGCAATGTTAAATCCTACAATGAAATTGGGAGGTCCTCATTTTTGGTATTCAAATAATTATAAGGCTTTAGATTTTTCAAATGAGGAACTTGCTACTCTTGCAGATGCAAAAGCCTCAATTAAAATTAATGCTCAAACAATTTATAATGCTTATCAACTT